AATGTATTTATCAAAAGTCGTCAGAAGTATAGATTTGACGGTCATTTTGTCACAGTATATCTCTTATAGGAAAAGAAGATTTTTGTAAATGAAACATTTTTTTAAAAAAAATTAAGAATTTTTGTTTTTTTTAAAATAAAAACTTCATAACGTTTTGTCCTAACATCAGCTCAATTTTCTTCATCAGAAATGAAATTAATGTGAATCTAACTAAACAGTTAAACCGAAAGAATTAGGATATCGTTGGGAGTTATAAACATCACACAAAGTTCTTCTTACTAAATAAAAGTAGTATTTAAGAATGACGACTTACATTCATAGGATCGATGCTACGTACAATCGACTTTGTACTGAATCAACAATGAATACTCCCGATATGACGCAGAGTCAATCCGACCGATATTAATTTATAAGGTATTTTCTCCTTCCTTTCTAACAATCTTTTGCCCTGTAACTGGAAACAATTGTGTAACTGGAACTCAGGACGTATTCGGAACGTCTGGCGAGGGCACCGGACATCTTTCAGGTTCCTGCATCGATATAATCCAACGATTAAAAGTTTCTAGAATGCAATTAACACGCTATAAAAGAGATTTTGATAATGTTGCATTAATAAATAAGAGCATTAATACACATTTTTCACCTACACAAACTTATAACAGGCATACAGTTAAAATTGCGTGGGACCCACATTTTAACACACGTAGACATGTTTATAGGATTCACAAAACACGACAGGCTTGTGTGTGTAAACCACCAGGACTTTGCCACTAGAGATGCAATTATAGTTTTTCGCTCTACTGTATTATCTAAAGACGTTTCAAGGCGTAACAGTGGGGCAAAGACGAGTGAGTAGGACACATCTGCTATATTGTTATAGCTATGAAAATCATGTTCTACTGTATCACTGCAGTGCAGTTAGGAGATAACTGCATACGTATATGAATTTCAGAGTGCATTATAAGAATTTATTAATATGTATAAGAATATGCAATTATTATATTGCATATTCTTATACATATTAATAAATATGTATAAGAATAAAAATGTAGTGTACTCCCGATTATCCCGGCTAATGCCGGAGAAGAAGGTCAGGGATAATCCATGTTATCAGTTTTCATGCATATTGTATGCATTCATTTCTTAAATAAATCAATAATTACTTAGATAAATATTATCTGTCGGTCATTTTACTCGAATCCCCTTTCGTCGACGAAATCAAATAGTGTTTCAGTAGAAGTCATTGCTGTCCCGGAACTGTTGTAATGACTTGTAGGGAGCATTTTTGCTTGTATTTTCAATATCTTTCTTCGCCTCTTCTGTTCTTGTGTCATATGAAACGATATCCATATCACTCAAGCATTGAAAATCAGGTTCATTCGAGCAACTGTAAGACCAGTCCTCGATTTTTAGGGGTCAACATTTCCGAAGGATTTTACATATTAAATTTTTTGGCATTAAATTAAAGTTGTAATGCCAAAATATTTTTTAATGTATAGTTATAACTACAGTTATTACCTCAACTTTTTCACAATTAGATGAGTCTCAGATTTCTACATTAAGAAAAATCTTTCTTTGCACTCATATTTGTGCGCATGTTTTTTACACTCTCACGCACAGAGTGTGCGTACGTGGTTGTTGCTACACACGGATAATCCGCTATCGGATAATCGAGAATACACTGTAAAAGCTTTGCTTAATGGAATATGGAGAAGCTAAAGAAGGTTATTTGCCTAAAAGGAAGGATGACGTTTTGAAGGACTTTCTAAGGATAATTCGCTACAAGTTACACATGGGGAAAACCACGAAATCTAACCATACAGCAAGTCTATTTGCCTGGGTTTGAACCCAAAACGAACTACCAACATTTGGGGGTCCTACCCACTTCGCCATTTATGCTGCATTAAAGTAAAGATACATGCCAAAGAGTTTTTTTATGTGTGCAACTTCATTAGGACCTAATGAATTCTGTGATAAGTGCGTCGTCATTTGGAACTTTCTCAGAAACATAACTGAGGCGTAGTGCAAAAAACGTTTTGTCATATTTGGCCCCACTGCGGGAAGTTTCCATGCAAGCTCTTTGTGTATGATCTGTTAACTATTTCGTTGCGGTAACATATCCATATGAATAGATCGTGTTGGATGATTTAATTGTTTGATAATATGCATTCTTTAACACAGTATAATAAATAAATATCTCTCTCTGATTTCTAAAAATTGCTAGAACAATCTCGCGTGTGATTTAAGAAGCTTATAAAAAGGAGGAAAACCTCTCAATTCGCTGAGTTGTTATTTCAAGAGTTTGTTTAAAAAACTGCTCTTGTTGACTGTAGCGAATTTGTGGATTAACTTTCTCTAGCTATTTTGAATTAACTTCTGTGTTTAAAAAACTGCTCTTGTTGACTGTAGCTAATTCGCGAATTAGCTTTCTCTAGCTGTTTTAAATTAACTTCTGTTGAACGTATGAGTAGTTAAAATATAACCACTGTGTGATATTGTAACACTGTATGAATATCTGAGGAAATTTAAGAGTTTTGTTTTATTTGTTTTGATAATAAATTTTGTTCATTTTTGATCGGACTTGTGCATTCAATTCGTAACGAACCCGTACGCACGCTACATTTTTTGGTGGCAGCGGTGGGATTTTAATTGAAGCCCACTGTAGTCTTTCACACATTTCTTTCCAACCCACAGCTCCAATGCCCCGAGCAGAATTTCAAAATTTACCCTTTGGTTTTCGGATAGACGTGGGATTCAAAACAGCTAGAGAAAGCTAATCCGCGAATTCGCTACAGTCAACAAGAGCAGTTTTCTAAACAAACTTTTAAAACAACAACTCACCGAACTGAGAGGTTTTTCCTCCTTTTTACAAGCTTTTTAAATCACACGCGAGATTGTTCTAACAATTTCTCGAAATCTAACGGAGATATTTATTTATTAAATGTTAAATGCGCGTGCTCTTGTATTTTTAATTGTCTGGCTTAGCTTTCTTTTTATAAACGTCACGCACTGCACGGAACGGGGAATAAAACAATTTTATTTATAATTCTACTAGCATTAACTATTTAAATACCAAATCCTTTAGATATCGAGGGACAGTCGAATATGTTATGTAAGCTATATTTTGTCGGATTCCTTTCTCTACATACACATGCGTACTTTCGACTCGAGCACATTCTGACACTGCACAGAATCGACGCCTAATATATTAGATATTGGCATAGAGTAGAAATGGTTTATAATTAGCAACAGTGTAAATTCAAGAGGGGAAGAATTTAATTAAATGACTATTTTTAGAGTACCTACGAATGCTCCACATCGGGATAAGTTTTAAGCCGGCTTCTGAGATGACATGCCGGCAGAGAACTTGTCGATTCTGTGCAGTGTGGATTCTCTGCCTCATTCCTATAATAACAAAGAAGAATAATCCAACAATTCCTTTAAAGGTTTCAAAAGGTTCGTTTTTAAAAACAAATTAATTCAGCCATTGTTTTTCTCGAACATGTGATCAGTTTAATGTTCCCTTTAAGAAAAGGCATGTATGTGTGTAATAAATCTATGTAAACATTTTAGGTTAATTGAAAGAATAAATTTACATAATTAGAGTGAGATATTAAAAATTCCACTCAACATGGAAAAATATTCTGACTAAGCAATTCTGAAGATCGAATCAGAATTCTAATTTTGTTCTCATCATTGCCCTATCAGTGACCAAGTGGATAAGACTGCTAAACCTTGACAACTCGATTTAGGATTGAATCCTCGAAAAATTTATCTGACTGCACAAATTAAGGATTTTTCCCACGTTTAACGTAAACATAATCCAGTTTGCTTTAGAAAAGGTTCTTCCTTTATGGAAAGAGATTTCGTTCTAAGCGTATAGTCTTCGTGTGCTTTGGCATATTCGGAAACAAATGAAACTCATAAATATGTACATTTCCTCACTTTTAAATAATATTCTTATTTACCAGAACAGTTACTTTAATTCTTAGGGATAATTCTACTTTAAATATGGTTTTTGTTAGTTGAAAACATTCTATGAAACGTATGTATGAATTTCAAATTCATGTATTACTTAAAAAAGGAAAAGGTAAATAAATATATGTATCATTATAACACCATGGTAGTTTTTTACGTATTTCCTTTAAGTAATTCAGAAAGTTTTGATTATACTGGAATATTAATGGAGTTTGTTTCTTATTTATTTGAGTAATAATACTTAAAAATTAACATTAGTTATCTGGCTTGAAACCTGCATAATAGAGATGGGACGAATCCTAAATTTTCTTGAATCTGGTTCCTAAAAAAGGTCTAGAATTTCTCGATCTTTCGTATAAAAATATTGTTTTTTTTACATGCTTTTGTTTAATATTAAGTTTTTTAATTAAAACAAAATGTTAGATCTGTGCATAATGAAAAAAAGTAAGACTAGCGGTTTTAAAAAAAACCTATCTGTATTAAGTAAGAACATACAAATGAAATTTTGTTAATGAAGAACCTTTTGAATCTTGAAATTCATTTTCTCTCTATAACTGGAATGAAAACATTTGATTAGAAATTCAGATTTTTAATAATTTTTCAAAACCTTTTGAAACAAACTTGCGCAAAGAGGAGAGGATTATTTCAAGACTTACACACAAAAAAAAAAAAAAAAAAAAAAAAAAAAAAAAAACACAGAACGCCAAATTATTTCCAGAAAAGTAATATTGAGCACTCAGCTCTGGCACGAGGATATATTAAGCCAGATGCAGTAAATTGAAATTACTGCATTCTTTTTTATTGAACGCTTCTACTGGATTTCAATAATATTTATATTTTAAAGGTTTGGCGTTAAGGTATTTAATATTTTTTTAAAATCAGAATTCGAACGATTTCGAATGATGACCAAACCGCTAAGTTTTGAGTCTTTGTTTCGAGAGATCTACGGTATTCGAAAGTCCCATCTCTAATTTGTAATGAAACATTTATATGCTATTTATGAAATAAATTTAATTTTTCAGCCTCTTGCTTACCCATCATCTACTAGCAACAGATCCCAACAAGACATGATTCAGGCTTACGAAAAGGTAGGCAAGGCAAAGAACTGTTTCCACTTCTTTGTTTCTCGCAATATGTCTTCCCTTTTATCCGATGCCACCAAAATGTTAAGACAGGTCCGAGATCGGCGAGAACGAGAATGGATCCTAACTTTCATATACCGCATTAAATCTCTTACTGAGCACTTAAGATCTCATCCAGAATCCCGTAATTATGAATGCCTAATGAATGGAGAGGAAATGATGAAAAGGAATCCAATATTCAGTGACTTTAGCAGGATTCAGCAGCCTGAACTGTACTTTGATGATGTTCCCGCCTTCCAAAATCAGAAACGAAGCTCGGCTACATCTGTGGAAAATTCTCCTGAAGATCTTATAACCTCTCAAGAGATTGATAGCAGTGTCATATCTGAATCTCAGGAAATGCCTAATATTGATTTAGACAATCAAGATCTTCATCAAAATGCAGTGAAGGAACAATCATTGTCTATCGTCCCACCGAATGAAAGAAACGGAAATAATCAGGCCATATCTAAGCAAACTCAATTTACTGCTGAATCCAGCAAGGAAACTGAGAATCCTGTGTCTTTCATGCCCACTGCTACTGGAGCTGCTATTTTAGAACGCACACAAAGCCAGAAAAACTCCTTGCAGCCAATGGAAGACATTGCTTCTTCAACTCCAAATCAGGGTATTATGCAAGAACAGCTTAATAGTGCTTATTCACAAGAAATAAAAACACAATACGAACGAAGCACAAGCAAAGAAGACCTGATTAGTTCTGTGTCAAGTTGTGAATCAGAAGCGCAATGCAGAAGGAAACTGAGTCAATCCTCTATCTCAGAAGATAGTATTTCAAAGAAAAATATTGATAATTCCAGAAAAACTGATGATCAGGTATCACAAATTCCTGCGCAACAGAATGCAGAAGATTTTGAAAGCGACAGCTACCAACAGGAAGTTTTAAAGGTAAATAAATATCATTTAAAAAATTAAATATTTTACAGACTTATATATGGCCTTTGAATATTGCATGTTGTGCAAATATAAATGTTTTTTTTTTCATTTGATGAAATATTATGAAGCTGTATACTTAAAAAAAATGTATTTTTACCCCTAGAAAAAAGTAAAAAATGCTCTATTAGAAGATATGGCTTCTGAGGTATGTGTCTATAATTACTATATATTGATTAAATATTTAAATCTGTTTATTTCTTGATATTTAGACTAGTTTAAACTTATTGAAAAATTTAAAAGATTCCTACTTTCAAAGGAAGTGATTTTTCTTTCTTTATTATTTTTCGGCTTTCCCCAGACTGCACATATAATATAAAATATGTGAAGCACTTTGAATCACGCAATTTTGAACAAATATACTATAACGGAAAGCATAACTTTGAATTACCATATTATTCTTGATCATCTATGATTAAACTAAACTCTTTGCCATATCAGTCCACAAAATGTATTAGAACATTACGAAACAATAGGAATGATGATATGGAAATTGTATAAGAATGTATAAGAATGTATAAGAATGTATAAGAATGAAATGTATAAGAATGCTTGCATTCGACTGGCTTTGATTTAAAATCTGCCATAATTAACAGTCCCACGATTTTAGTTGCAGTCGTATGTGATCAAGAATGCTATGATTGTTAAAAAATTAATTTTTCAGAATTTTTATTGAAATCATGTTATTTAAAACTTTTCTGTACATTTCATTTCAAGATTTCATTCAACTCAAGATAAGATGATAAATTTAAAAGCAACACGTATTTTAAATTTTATCTTAATTAGTAATATTAAAACAATTAAGTAAGGAGCAATTTTTAATGTATAAGTCACAAGTAGTTTTAGAGACTATAAATTTATCTTCTTTTCTCACTTCTCTTTCGAAAGTCTACATCTATGTCATCTATTTAGCTAAATGGTTATTCTCCATGTAGGAGTTTTCTTGTAATAAACGGAAATAAAAATAGGGAATATAATTGGAAGCAGACTTAGAATCTGTCCTTGTCAGTTCCTTCCAAGTTTACAGACTTGATGATATTCATAAGAAGGAGCAATGACGATTCTCTTAAAAGAGATACAATTTAACTATAATTTTTATTGTAATTATTATGTGATCTCTATTTTCTTTTTTGCATCTGTCAGATGTCCTTGCAACCATTATTTGACAAATTACAAACGTAAAATTTTCTCTAAAGCTGATGGATTTTTATCCTTGGATTTCAAAATTTTAAAATCTGTTGCATAATATTTTTAAAAAGTATATGTATGCTTTTTTATTTTGTGTAAATTTTCTGATTCATTTATAATAATTTTTACATAATTTTAGCTTATTAGCCCAGAAGAGTTATTAGTCTCAAAACGGCATTTTGTGGCACTTCACTCTAAACGGATCACTTTTTTAATTGTTGCCACCAAATATTATAACGCTGAATTATATTTCAAGAAATTAAATAATGAAGAATCTGCATGCATGTATGTATGTTTCTAGCATTGTGAAAAAAGACGGTACCTAGAGCCATCAGAATTTAAATAACATAATCCTCCACCCGAACACGGACACCTCGACACCCGAATTTCAAATTTGTTTTATTACCTATTTCACATTTTGTAAAACTTTAACGAATTTTCGATTAACAAACTCAAAAATCTCAAAGCGAGCAATGGCAACATTGTTATGAAACAAAATATTTTTATCTCCAGCTCGCGAGACGTTAAAAAATCGCCACTTTGAGCGTAATATAAAATATGATAACTTTCAGAATTGTTTTTTCTTTCCTTCTTTTTCTATTTTATTTTAGAATTCTTAAAAGTAAGAAATAGAAAAAATAATTATAAATAGTCATACGTTCACTACAATGTTTTTTTTTCGACTTAATTTTTTATCTTCCTCAAACATACGTAAATATTAATTATTGTAGATCCTTTTTTTAATTTCTGAATCCTGTTAGCTTTAATAATAATCAATTAGGGAAAGTTGTTATTTCCGTTGAGATCCTAACGATGCTAATCGCTTATTATGGAACTTCAGTGACTCTTCGTGAATGTATAGACAGTGCTTAAATTCCTGAACCCATTGCCGCTTGAAACGTTGAATCTGATTTTAATTGTACTCTTTTACCATTTTTTATGTGTTTCTGATGTTTTCAAACTCCTTATAATTCAAAACTGCTGAATTTTACATTCTTCATTTGCATAAAATAACATTTTTATACAAAAAAAATTTCAAACAAACTATTTTTAAATTCATTTTCTTTCAAGTCTTTGAAAGGGTTAGTTAAAAATTAATCACTTTTTAGTCATTAATTGATTATATATGTATATGATTATATGTATATGTTTTTTTTTCTATTGCGACCATTAAATTTTTTTAATTAAATAACGTATCTTCTTTTAATTTTTCTCCGCAACTGAAAGTTATTTTTAAATGTAAAAACCGATATTCGTCGAACTTATGTTAAATACTTTTCTACCAGTAATATTTCATTCTTATGATTTTTCATGTTTAGGTGAAAAAACTGCGCACTGTTGGAGGATCTTTAGAAGATTTGGTGAAACTTTGGAAGCAAAGTGAAGTTGGTAAGAGTGATTACTTGCTGATACATAAATGCACTTTACCGAGGAATCTGAAAATTTATTCAATGTCAAATAGTTCTAGCATATTTTTCAAACACAATGCTTTTTTTTATCCTTACCATTAAGAAAATGAGCCTACAATTTATATACGAATAAAGACGGACAAAATTGACGAAAATTTACGAAAACTGTGAGGAGATTGTCTTTAAACAGTAATGTTAAACCAAATCATAGAATCCCGCCCTAAAAAAATATTTATTGATGTCCAAAAGTAAAATTAATTTAAAAAAAAAAGTAAAAATGTACTGCCGCAATTTTCCCAGTCTCTTAAATCCCTAATGTCATTGGTTCTGACTGCCACTCTCTAGATCTTCTAGAAAGATTTTATCCCTTCATGTTAGCATTTATTTATATTAACTTTTGAAGTAATTATCTGGTCTCTGCACTTGCTTTTCTTTAAAAAGTTCCGATATCAGCCAAATTTTTTAAAAATATTTTAGTAGTAGTTTTTGTCAAATAATGATAAAAAATGGCGAATATTCGACAGCATTAATTATGTTTCCCGATTAATAAATTTAGTAATTATCATTTTGATAAATAAGCATAGTCTTAAAACTGTATTCTTAAATTTGTTATTCATTAATGCCATATTTTAAATTTCACTTTATAAATTTTTTATATCAGTTTTTTTTTGTTTGTTTTGTTTTGTTTGTTTGTTTATTTTGTTCTTATTGTTCTTATATGTAAGATTTGAGAATTCGATTCGAATTTATATTCGAAAAAAATTTGAATTCATTTCGCCTCTTGATATTTTAAATACAATATTTCTAAGTACATACATATACATTAATGTAGCAGAAAATGATAATCGTCTCTGTTTTATTAAACCTGTCTGAAAAAATAAATAATAGAATGGTGCTATTTTTTATGCTTATTTATCATAACAGAGGTACACCACGGATGTTTATAAGAAGACATCTTCGTCACTAGTGTAATTTGAACTATTTAACACAATTTTCTTGTCATTATTGTTCCACCATCTGAAAACATTTAAAGTATTTACTGGACATTTATTTTAGTATTTAACACTATATCACATTTATCATCATTGCAGGATTTTGGATTTTAATCTTTGCTCATTCTTGTTGATGCTACTTAAAAAGGCTAAAACGTTTTTATTTGTTTTTTATGCATTGAGATTAATATTAGTGAAAGGCTATTTCAAGTAATTGGATGAAGTTTTAATTTAAGAGCCGTGTTAGTTCCAGATATATTTAGTTTATTATTTTTATGATATTTTCACTAATAATTTTACACTTTAATATGCCTTTAGTTATCATTTTACAAAATTCTGCACGAAGTGTTGTTTTCCTTTTTAATGACGGGCACTAGCCACTTTAGGCTTTGGCCGCCATTAAGGCCAAAAGAGGTGGTCATTTTATTATGGAAGCACCTTATACGCAGCCATCGTTACCTCCTTTGAAGGGACAGATAATTTACATCCATCCCTTCTCCGGAATTCGAACCCGGGCACTTCGATAGAGCAGTCAGAGTCACTAACCACTTTCCTGTTTGGCCATAATAAATAATAGAATCTCCACGAAGTCATCGGCTGTCTTTGATAAACAGACCTTACGTCTATTCCTATAATTGTCTAGTAATAAATAACTTATACAGAGAAAGCCATGGCAAAAATAATGCCAACAAACCAAGCAAAAATAATGCCAATAAGCTGACCGAGGGTTCAACAATAAGGATTTGTACTGACCATTCCGGTCAATGGTCAAAGTAAGTGAACTACCATTCCGGAATATATTTCAATTCTCATTTCTTAGGAATTGCATGTATTGCTTAGGAAAGTTTGAATAAAAAGCTCTAATTTTTTGCACGTTTGCCTACAAATACATGTATTGTAAAATAAGGACTAAACTGTTATATGTTATAACTCAAAAATATTTTCAGAAAACTTATAAGAATATAAATTTATAAAAGTTTATAAGAATACAAATTTTAAAAACAAATCACAAAGCAGCTGCGAATTTTATGTATATTGAACCTGAATTTCGAACTGTGAAAGAAGGAAACAAGTAGGTTTAAAAAAAGACATATTAATAAATATGTATATGAAGAAATAAATGAGCCTAAATAGATTGTAATATCAATGAACATTTTTAATGACAGAGATTAATTTAAACATAGTTGCGTACAGCAGAGAAAAAGGGCGAAGATGTAAGAATGATATCATATACATACATACGTATAAACAGTTACGTCTCATCACCGCGCGGATAACACGAACGGCGCATGCGCAGGAGAAGCTCTCTTAAGCTAACGTCGTATTATAATTTATGATACAACAATCCCCCTTTCGACGTTTGGCGGCTGAAAAAAAATAACATTAATCATTTACAGTTATTCCAATTAATTTCCGCACTTAGAATGTTTCGAAGCAAGTCAATGTTTTTTGTCAGTACATCAGCATGCATTTTCTCTTGTTGGCACATATTTAACGTCTATTTCATTTCTTTCATAAATTTCACGAATGAAATGATGTCTAATATCTATGTGTTTAGTGCGTGAGTGATAAACAGCATTTTTCATAAGCTTTTGTGCACCTTGTTATCACAATATATAATGGTTGGATATCAGCAGTAAAATTTAATTCTTTAGGAAACGAGTAAATAAACGCTTCTTTGGCATTTCTGAAAGACTGATGTACTCTGCTTCAGGATTTGATAATCAACAGTTTGTTGCTTTCGTGATTCCCATGTTATTGGATTTCCAGCAAACTTGAATAGGTAACCTGTATACGATTCTAGTATTAACAGCAGACGCCCAGTCGGCATCGGTATATCCAATAAGTGCTTTCCAGTCTTTCGAAATTTTTAAACAAAAATTTTAGTTCCTTTTAAGTATCGAAGAACGCGCTTGCAGGCAACCAGTGTAATTTTCCAGGATTGTTATTAAATTGGCTCAGGTAACTGACGCATATGTAATATCCGGCCTAGTAAACACAGAAAGATACATAAGCGAACCAATTAGACGGCGATAAGGTACTTGTTCATTTCTTCCTTTTCAGTTTCAGAAGACACATTTCTTTACTTAATTTTACACTAGGATCTAAAGGAGTTGCTACTGGTTTTTGCATCTTGCATATTAACCTTCGTAGAATATTATCAACATATTCTGCCTGAGATAAACTAATAGAATTATTATTTACATCTTGATTAGATTCTATTCCAAGATAATAATGAAGTTTGCCTGAATATTTAACATGAAATTCTTTAAAAGATAACCTTTAAGTTCAGCATATAAATCACAGCTTTGTTGCTATGATTAAGTCATCCACATATAAAATTAGAATTAACTCACCTTGAGATGTTTTCATCTGTATACACACTTTATCTGATTGTAATGGTTGTAATCCAAAGTTTTTGAGTTTTTTATCTAATTTTTCATACCACTGTCATTCATTTTGTTTCAAACCATAAAGAGACTTTTGCAAAGCAAATCTTTTTAAAGTCAGGATTATTTTAGTTTTCAAAACCTTTAGCTTGTTTCATGAAAATTCCTTCTTTTAAATCTCTGTTAACATAAGCCATTAAAAAAAATCCAGTTGATATAGAATAAGGTCTTGTTCAGCACTGAATGCAATCACACAGTTCTTATTGAGCTTGCTATGGTTACTGGAGCAAAGATTTCATTGAAATCAATTCCAGGTTCCTGTGCAAATTCCCTAGCAACCAATCGTGCTTTTCTTTTTTGAACCGTTCCATCTGCATTATAATTCATTCTAAGAACAAAGCGACATCCTATTACCTTTTTGTTCTGTGGCCATTTTACTAATTTCCATGCACCATTTTTAACGCGTTATACTCACTTTTAAGAGCCTTATGCCATTCTTCATCATAACTTCCATTTAATGCTTCTTCTAATGTCTGATTTGTATTTTCTTTAGCAATTTTGTGCTTCTTTTTAATATTTATACTGTGGTACTCCTTTAGTCTCCCTGGATTCCCAGTCTTGATTTTCTTTGGAGACTTGGCCTCCTTTTAATCTGCATTTCAGGTATATCTTCGGAATCAGAATCTTCATTATCAGATGATTCAGCAGATTTGAGGGGTCTTCAGTTATTTCATCAGCGACTATTTGCTTTGCATTCAAAGGTTCTTCCTTCTTTTTATCAATAATATTTTCAAGAAATAAAACTTCTAAATCTTTATTATAATTAGTACAGTTTTCAAATTCATCAATGAATCTAACATCTCAGCTTATTAACGATTTTTCTGGAATTTTTATTCCACAGCCTTGTATGTTTTCGATCCATTTGAGTATCCAACAATGATACGTTTTCTTGATCGAGGATCAAATTTCCCTTTAAACCTTTTATTAAGTACGAAACATTTCTGTCTGAATACTTTGAAGTGAGATACGGTTGGCTTGATGCCAAAAAATAACTCATAATGGTGTTTTGTTTATTCCCAGGCTTCGATTGGGCAACATTACGATATAAACAGCACACTTCAAGGCTTCAGCCCAAAAGGATTGGAGAAGATTACTTTCTAGTAACAAACATCTGGCCATTTCAGTTAAAGTGCAATTCATGCATTTCAGCTATTCGAATTCTGTTGCAGAGTCATTAGGAGCAGAGAATTCTCGTTTAATTCCACATTCTTGAATATATTTGTTAAATTCTTCTCCGCGATATTTGAGACCGTTATCAGTTCGAAGATTTTTATTTTCTTTTCTAGATGATTTTCAACCGCAACTTTATATTTAATGAATGCATTTTTCACTTCGTCTTTAGTTTAAAAAAAACTGACTTCTACATAATGCGATCTGTTTTCTATGAAGGTAATAAAATAACATGAACCAGTATGGGATGGGGACTCTCATAGGTCCGCACAAATCTGAGTGAATCAAGTTCAGTAATTCATCACTTTGAAATTTTGATTCTTTTTGAAAAGGTTGCACAGTTTGTTTACCTCGGATACAGCTTTGCAGTCTTTTAGAGTTCAGTGATATTAAATTTTAAAATTTCTAACCATGTTATCAGATTTAAGTCTTCAAATCAGATCATTTAAGTGACCTAATTTAAGATGCCACTTTACACAAACCACTTACCGTGCTATTGCAGCTGTTCGTGCTTGGATGTATATAATAAAGATCACCATGACGAATAGCCTGCACTAGTATAGATCCATTTGGTTCTCTTATTCTAGCATGTGTTCTGTATAAATCACTGAACGATTATTTGCAGTAGCTTTAAGTTGACAGCAAAGTTACATTTTAATTCCGGAACACATAAAACATTTTTAGCGTAAGTTTATTGTCTTATTTTCGTAGTATTATAAGGACAGTTCCAATTCCTGTTTTTGATGTTTGTAACTGCTAACTTTATGGTTAATTCGTTCGAGTGTGAAATTCTGAAAAAACCTTCTGTCATTGCACATGTGAGATGTACAGCCATATCTAAGCCCCATGAGGAGGTCTTCTGATAAGCATTGTTTACAGCTAAACTAATCCGCTCTTCTAATAGAAGCCATCATAGAACCTTGATTTCCCTTATTTGATTGCGCATATTTTCATCAGCTATTTCTTTCTGCATTCAGAGCCTTGTGCCAATGTTCGAACAGTAATACACTTAAAATTTCGAAAATTTCTTTCAGCAGGAAATTTTTGTTTGAATTTACCTTCCATTTTTCATTTTTTCTTCTGTTCTTGATTTCGCTTTTAATCAGAAGTATGCATTCTGTGAATCTTGAGACGTATTCCTTTTCTTGCTCATTCTTCTAACATTTTGATTCAAAGATTCGGGACTAGGTAATGATCTCTTGATTCGATGCGCATCTAAAATTTTCAAAATTTTCTGGAATATAACAGCAGAATAATCGATATAATCATAGCTATGTCATTTCCATGTTAAGCTTATCAACATTTCCACGAAAATTATTCAATGTTCAGACACGTTTCCTTCCACCATTTTAAATAAAAGCGTTTAATAAGTAACCTTCTTCGAGGTACTTTCGATTATAACGGATTTGAGTTTATCACACAGCATTTGAGGGCCAAATGCTTATATGACACGTCATAGGATTAATAGCAAGAATTATATGCGCGCGCTTTTTTGATCAGATTGGAGCTTTCTTTTCGTCCTCGGTCCTTCAGCAGATTTTAGCGCTACCGGTCGTTTAATCCCAATGGTCCCAATGGTCGTTTTTAATCAATCTGCTCTCTTTGAATTTCCAATGTCAAAATTAATCTTTCCGAGCTTCTATAGAGTCAAATGACATAATGTAATACAGTCTCTCCGCCAAAAAAAAAAAAAAAAAAAAAAAAAGATTGAGCGCTAGAAAAATAGGTTAATGACGCTGATCAGTTCTTACGTGATTAGAGTAACAGTTCTTGCGCTGAATTAGGCTTAGGAGTCATGCTCGAAAACTTCAATGTTCATTTAAAAATAGGTTTTGCTAATAGCACATGAAACGTTCTGGGCCATAACCATTGAAGAATAAATGACCTAAATAGATTGTTATATCAAGAAATTTTTAAGCAGAGATAATTAAAATCGTTGCGTCAGCAGAGAAAGGGCGAAGATGTAAGCATGATTACTATACATAAACGTAATAAACAGTTAACGCATCTACCGCGCGGATGAACGCGACGGCGCATGCGTCGGAGAAGCTCTCTCAGCTGAACGTGGTATTATAATTTATGATACAACAGTATAAAATTCAATTAAAATGGAGGAGCTAAAAGTTTGAGGGCTAGAATAAACACTATTCGTGCAATTTTTGCAAAAATTAGCATTTGGCATAATTTGAGTCGTAGAATCGAAATGTGAAAAAAAAATATTTATGTCATTTCAGAAAAATTCCGATGTGTCAAAATACCTAGGTTAGAAAAATACTATATATAAATCTAATATATATCCTAAGTCGCACTTTGGAGACATAAAAAACGTTAATTAAATTTAATCAATCGCCCCAGTAAAAAATGGAAATGTAGAGCTGTCCCTTCCCTCTTTTTTGTGCAAGGTTGTACCAAAGTCTTTCTACAATGGAACGAACTCATTCACATATATCTCAATTTTTAATAATAGATATAAATGTAGAGATAAATGTGGTATGAACTTGCATTGTGAAAGATTCAGGTTTAGACTTGATTTTAGCGATTACTTAAGGTATCATGGAAAATTTGTAAACATATAAGAGGTATTATTGAACGTATTGTTGGGCATTATGATTTCAGTCGGATTAGTGCGGAAATATCATTTCATCTAAGAAACAAATTTGGGGCAGAAGGTAACAAGATTTTTAAAGTAAGATTTTTTTTCGATTGCATTCGAAAATTGTTCAAAGACAAAGGAACTCACATTAGAATTCTTTGCTGGATTCTTAACTGTAGGAAATCACATGAAGAATTTGATGTAGTGTAAAGTGATCAGGCGTTTCAGACTGCACGGAACAATTCTCAAAATTCAACCCGCTTCAGGATATATCCCTGAAAAATTAGCTGCATTCTATAAATATTTTCGCCTTTGTTAAATATGTCGTTCATTTAACACAGTTAAGCAGTTTGAGTACACTATCCCCTATTTAGCACAGTTTTATTAAAGAACTACAGTTTTATAAAGAATTAAGTTAGAATAACTATGAAATCTTTATTTAGCAAGTTAGAGAGTTTGCTTAAATCAGATAGAACACAAATAGAATACAAATCAAATCTAATACTCTTTACAAACATTTAAATTGAAGTGTTGCAATAAGGAACATGCAAGATACTCATTTATAAGTTTTAAATAGCTTCAGGCATACTTATTAGGCATTATCAGGAGTATATTCCATAAAAGAAGGTACCGTACTGAAAAGAATGATGTACAAATACGAGTACAATGCAAGTATAAAATCTTTTTAAGACTTCTGCATCAGAACCAAAGTAGAATCCTCTGTCGCCAATATATCGTTTGGCGCTCGTTTATTTTTGACGTTGCCGAGTTTCAATATACAAAAGTGACACTAATTTATTCTAACAGTAGACAATAGCTGACCCAAATTTGATCAATCATCTTCATGATGAGTATCACAATGAACGTCACTATGACAATATTTTGATGAAAGAGAATTTCCCTGATGATAAATGATTTAACGAAATATTGCATTTATAATGTGAAATACTTGATACACTTATCCAAAACTAGAGCTAAAATTGAGCGTAACGGAAAGACATTTTTTCTATGTTTAGTTGTAATCATATTTCTTCCAAATCTATGAACATTAATAATTGAACTAAGCCTTGCTGCGAAAACTTTTAAGCAAAACAGCACATGGATATTTCGATATAGTGAAACTTCTCATGGTGACCACATCTATAGGTAGTATTAATGACATAGGTAAGCACTGATATTGGACGTTAACAACAGTCGTGTTATCTAACACGACCAATTTCAAGGAAGAGCGTAATTATTTAAAAACAAGGAGTCTGTTGTGTGATTTCATGGCAACAGAAAGAAAAAACAGAAAGCAAGCAGCAAAAAGCAACAGAAAGGAAAACACTACTAATTATTAGTTGTTCAAAATGGTACGATTATACTTCAAACAACATCTTATTATTATTATTTTAGTCACTCAGAGTGCTGTCCCACAGTTACTGTGATGGAAAAGGTTTTTTTTTTCCTCTCTTATCTCCAGCAATTAATCAGTGAAATGATCTACCTTTTGACGTTGTGAACTAATACTGAAATCACCCTGCAGGAAAAGTAACGGATAAATTACAAATAAAAGAGTATGAACTTTGTTTTGGCAAAAGGCATTTTTGTATATTGTGGCGATAGAATATATTTTTGTAATTCATGTTGATTGTTTTATTACAGTTTTATGTAATTGCGTGAATCTATAATTTTAAATTATTGTTGTTTTACAGATATTTGGCCGGAGAGTACTAGTTATTCAGATTTCGACTATGAAGAATTAGGAGCAGCTGCGGGCGACCCTAATTCAAATGATAAAAATCCTTCGGTCGACCGTACTGTAGCGCCATCTCTTACAGAAATAAAACACTCCAAAAAGCAACCCAATGATGCTAAAGTTATTGAGCCGTACGATGACAGCGACGTTTTGGTACAGCAATTGTTTGACGTCAGATTCGATCAGCCACCTTCTAAAACTACCAAATCTCTTAGCGATCAAAATGATGACTATCTTATAACGAGTACTCATACTCCATATTGAAAAATGTAAAAAGCGTCCATTTAAGCCTGCGATAAGCCTGTTGTGTGTATAGCAATGTTCCTGAATCTTTATGAAAGAAATAGGAAATTATTTTTATTTCCAAATTTTTAATGTTAATTTTATTCCAAGCCAAAGGTGCTGAAAAGTTAAGTTTTCAATGTTGTATTTCGCACAAATGCAAGCATATTCTGTATACTTTCATAAAATAGTTCATTTTTTGCCTTGAACAAATTACGTCACACTGGAGTTATAGAACAGATATGTGAATCGACAACTTTTCTCCTTGAAATTAAGAAAACTCTTTAAACGTTTACTAAGAAAACTTTTTAATCTCATTACATCAACACTGATAATTATAAAATCCATTGCTGTTGTTTTAATTTTTTTTTTTTTTTTTTTTTTTTTTTTTTTTTTTGTAATAATGTGCAGTCCACTAAGTCTTTACGTTTCAAAACTATATGATTGATTTGACTCAGTTTCTCTTTGTAATAAATAACTGAAGTAACTTTCCATTTTTAACAGTAAGCTTAATCTTTTATTTGAAGGGAGTAACTTCATAGGAAAACAATGATTGTTAATATACTTTCAACGCACTTACATAAAATAAATCATTAGAAATTTTACTTCTTGTATTAGATTATTGAACTATCTCAAATGTATCATTTCTAAACATGAATATAAAATGATTTTATTAAAGTTTGTATGTAATACAAATTGTCAAATTTCAATTATTTTCGCAAGTTAAGCAGTAAATTTCTACATTTAGATACTTCCGCATTTCTAGTAGCATCAAATACCGCGCAAAGAAACTGCAGTTTTAAAAGTTAGTTTTTAAACTGGTGGAAGTTAACTGATATAATGAAAACACATTCAAAATTGGTTCACTTATTCTAATAGAAATTTGTTTCTTTAAAATCTTATTTATCAGTAAACAATTGTATTATACGTTACTTTTTCACGTACTTAAAGTAAAATTAAAGTGAGTTTTTCTAGCAGAACATTCTTATTTAGGAAACTTTTTTGTCAGCAATAATTTCCTCTTAGGGCTTAGTTCATCTTTAAGTATCAATTATATATCCGAGAGTTAATTTGCAGTAAAATTTCTCTTAATGGCTGCAATACTGTTCTTCATATCTTAGAAAATAACTTTTAATATTTTCTAATTCTTTGATTTAGAGTATTAGACAAGATTCAAATCAAAAAATAAGAGTATAATTGAAATGAAATAAAAGTTTATTTCCAATTACTCGTTTTATTAAGTCATTACAAGAAAAAAAAAAGATGGCTGTATTTAATGCTTAAAACATTCATAAAAATACTTCAATTTTTTTTTGTTTGATTTTTATAAATTTATTTATTGATGTTAGAAAAATATGTTGTACAGTGTTTTCCTTTTTCACATCATGTTGTGTTACGCTATAGTATCATTAATCAATGACATGAAGTGCACATTTCCTTTATCGGTCTTGCTAGAGACGATCTTTGATTTAGCTTTCAGATTATTACATTACACTACATTAATAATTACAAATTTCAAGAGTTCAAGAGTTTAACAGTTTAAGTTAATTATATATATATATATATATATATACTTAATGTTAATTCATTTTTATGTGTATTTCCATAATACTAAGTATTATCACTAATCTTTATCAATACATGTAGTATTATAATCTGATATACTTTATATACATTTATTGATAAACTTTGGAAATAGTTACACCAGTGAAGTTATTAATAAAAAATATTTCTAACGATATACATTAAGTACTGTTTTTAGAGCCTTGTGTTCTGTGTTAACATCAAATTCACGAAACTCTCAAGACTGAAACGCAAGCACCATAGAGCCAGGGAAAGAGGAGGTGTAAAGGATCCTTTTATTTGACTAACATAAAATTTAACAAACGGCACCACTAGTGCTTACAGATGGCAACAGTTATGGCTTAAACGAAAAATAAGGGATGAACTAAAGCTATGACAAGTAAGTTAGACTAACAGTTGCACAAATAGAATAACGCGCAAGCTGACTCTGACCAAAGGTTGGCGTAACAAACCTAATGGGGAGTAACGCAACGCCGCAGAATACCAGCAAGATCATCAAAGTAGCAGCGTTGCTTTCAGGCAGGCAGAATGCGCTCTAGTTCTACTTCTACCCTCTGAAACCTTTCTTTTAATACTCTCTTCTTTCTACCTCATTTGAATGTCATGCGAGCTAAAAATGTACACTCTAGCAAGAAAACTGAAATGAGGGAGATAGGAAAGATGATTAGCATAAAATAACTTGAGAGAAACGAAACGTAAGCTTTACAGGTTTACAAAATAATTATTTATTCGTCACCTAGTACTGCATTTTCAACATTTGTTACATTCTCTTTCAGTTTTAAAATTGTATTTGATTATTAAAAGGTTCCGAGGAGATTCATAAGTTAAATACGGCATGGTTGTTTTCATAATAACTGCAGTATAATATATGATTTACTAAACAACATTAAGTATAATGTAGCAACAAGATTTTTGTATAACTGCAAGCAATTAAAGCTAACTTTTCTCACTACCCTTGTCTTTAACTTAGGAAAAAAGGCTCAGCGAGTAGATATTTTAGTTAATAGAAAATGAAAAAAAAGTTATTTGCTTGGAAAAGCAACGACTTTCATTGAAATATTTTTAAGACGAATTGTTATGAATCGTTTTTAAGAGCTTATAGTTAATATATCATTTGAGAAAACAGATTACATTTTCAGAATATCAGTTTTATCTGGCCAGCATACTAAACAAGTGACATAAATGTATTTTCACTTTTTTAACTCTGGTTTGTTACAATGATACAATGAAATATTCTATGAATCAGTAAATTCAAAACTGATAAATTATTATTTTTATTTCAAAATAGACCGAAATTTTAAATGCGTTTTATATTTTCATATTTTTATAAGATTAAAATTTCCAAATTAAAGAATTATGCTTTTCTTATTGACAAAACAGATGTTTATGACATTAGATAATAATTTCTACGAATCAAAATTTCATATGTGATAATATTTTATGGAAAGAAAACGCTTAAATAAAAAAACTTAAGTATAGGCTTTGATTGTTAATAATCTTATGTAAATGAGCTATCATTCAAGCCAAACTTAGAAATCTCTGCCCTTAAATGTGATAAATATCCAAACTTTTTTCTATTTTGCAAAAATTTAAAAAGATTGTAAAAGACATCTGTTATTTTCTTTATTTTTAAAAGTTCCTTTTTTATTTGTATTTCTGAAAGATATTAATAATTAACTTTTATTGTATAGTTTTAAAAGTTTACAAAATACAATCTTTTAAGGATTGAATAATTCTTAAAAAGTGTAGCGTAGCAAAATTCCGCCTAACAACATTTTGTATTAGTGAAGCTGACTTCTCAGAAATTTAAAAAGAATTAATAGCAAAAAAAAAACTTTTAAAGAAATTAAATTCATAATAAGAAATATATTTTTGTAGTTTAAATCTTAAACAAATATGATAAGTATGGCAATATAAGATAATTTCAACGATTTATTTCAGCCGATAAAATATACAGATATTTCCTAAAATTGCTTATTAATTAGCATTAGATAAAAATACAAAAAATATAGCATCAGTAAATTATTTATGTAAAGTTAAGATAAAATAATAAATGTTTTTATGATGAAGTATTAATCAGTATTAAATCACAAAATATGTATCTCATAATATGAATGTATTGAATGATTTGATTTTCTTTCATTTATACTTGTATATTGATATATACTTTTAGATTTTATAATACAAACAAACGTTCTTATGCTAGGACATTGATTTTCTTAATATTATGCGTGTATTATAAATGTATCGTCCATCGTTAATGAATGCTTTATTTCTAAAACTAAAAGTACACAACTGACAGCTATTTGCTTGCCAAACTATCTGAATATACATTGCCACTATTATTTATCATTCATTACAATTAGCAATAATGTTACTTTTGAAACACTGTACTCGAGCAAACATCATTTAATTTATTTGACTTTTACACAAATTTCATCATCTCTGCATTTCTAATCGCGAAATTAATGAACTCATAAAGTATAAAACCCACGTTCCTTATTCCAGCCGATAGATTGCTGAATTCTAAAAAAATGTCATTTGCATTATATTTTAATAGTAATTTGTTATACACCCAATCTTTACTTTTAGGAAACATCAAAATAATATGAACATTTTAATGTTATTCTGCTGAATTTGTGAAATGTTTCCATGTTTGTCTAAACTGTGTATGTAATACATTTGTGATGTGGTCATTTTTTATTAAATTTAAATGTAAACTTTATAGATTTGCCTATTTAACTATTTGCTGGAAAGTAGTAAGTTTCCGCAACTAGGTAAAGTGCATAATAAGATCAGAAGCTATTTCTGTCATTTGTGCTCTCACAATTTCTGAAAAGAAATTTATGAGTCACTGAGTTTTAATGTGAAAATAAAGTTTCAAATTTATTTAAACGTATTATTTAGTCATAATTTTAAGAAGCACAAATAATGAAAGATTCTTATAGATTAGGTTATAAAAATTAGGATATTTATTTTTATTCCAGAAAACTACTTAAAAAATTGCTTTCAGATTTTGCATGAGTATTAGCAATGTATCATAATAAAATGGATTAAGTAGAAAGTAGCATTAAAAACTCAGTGTATAAGTATTATCTGTTCTGACTAAAATTGTAATGTATGCATATCTATTAGAAAATTTTCTTCAGAAATTGAAGAATCCTTTTCCCACTTTTAATTGTGACCTGTTCTCGTTTAATTACCATTCGTATAATGTGAAATATTTATGAAGTTGTTGTTTGTGGAAAGTGTGATAATATGCTGTGAATATTCAAGATATATATTTCATTACCACGAAGAAGGATCTTTAACTTACTTCGAATAATCATGCATTTGAAACTATCGCAGGTGATAAAATATTTATGTATTGTACTGGTATTTGTAGGTATATAATAAAAATTATTAATACAGTGAGAGGAATAAACCTTTGTTATCATGTTAAGTTTGCACATTTTCATTCATTTTTCAATACTTTTTTATTACTTAATAAGAAACATTTTCTTCTTTGTCATCAAGCAAACAATAAAAAAATATTTGTTATGCTCTTTGAATAACCATTTATTATTAAAAATACACAGCAAAATCTGATTTAAAGTTTGTTTATTTTCTGAACTGAAGTTCTTGGATCTAAAGTTCGCTTAATATTTGCTTCCGGGATCTGAGGTTCTTATATTCTTCAGAAAGCCTTGTTTCAAGAAATACTATCTGAGAGTAGAAGAATTAACCTTAGAATAAGTTTACAAGGCTCTTTAAACTAATTTCATTTTAATAACAATAAACATGTTAAAACAAACTCAAATATTTATTCGTACTTCATCTTGAAATAACAACTGAGGAGAATAACAATATTAAACTTCCACTGCTCGGTACCTGATAATACCGAATATGTTATTTAATATTTACAAAGTAAAATATTAAACTGCAAGAACCTGTTTCCTATGCTAACACGCCTTCTCACCTAACTACAAATGAAAACTTAGCTCACCAAGCACTCCCTCTTGCTAACCCTCTGTTTTTTCCTTTTAGCTTTATTATTATGCATCGTTTTCTTTGCACTTACCCCATATACTACAATTCAACAGGGAAATAAAAAAAAAATTAAAAGCAGCAATTACAGCTTATCTTTAGAATTCCTGACGCAGTGTTATGTGTTGGGATATATTTTTCTTAAGTCTTTTATCAGTTTATCATATCAATGTTCAGTTCTTTTAATAAGACGGCTTATAATGCTTTTCTTATCTTTTTTTAATTAACGTTTTATGTGTTAACTTTGTTTATTAAATATCACCTTCTTTGCATTTACGCCACATAAATTCAGTTCAACCGAGATATTACAAAATATTTAACAACAGAATATTCTTAGAATTTCCGACTGACAATCTGGCGCGCTGGAAAATGTTTTATTCTGTATTTGCCACTGCAATAAAAAACATATAATGTCATACCATGAAAATATTCAATATTTTTAATTAGATAGATCGTAAATTAAGTGCATTTTTTATTATTTTAATCAATCTGATTCAAAAATACGATACGAATAATCTTAAGAACTGCAATTATTGCTTTCAAATAACTCAGTTTGTTAATCCACAACAGACAGATTCAGTTCGAAAGATGAATGTCTAACATTCTGCCAAACAGCAGACTCAAATAAAAAGTAAAACTACGCATTTATAGCTATTGAACCAACTATTTCGAGACCCCTTTTGGGCTAACAAGTAGTAAAACAAGACTGCAGTAACACACAGAGAGTAAGGTAAACTGAAATTCTTGCTCATTATTTAAACTCGTGTAATTCAAATTTTCTCCTGGAACAGAAGAAACAGTTGAAGCTCGAAGAAGGTTCAGCAGGAGAAACTAAGTGTTAATTATATTAAACCTTGCAGATTGCCTCGTGTTAGAAGCTACTCTATTTCAGGCATAGCAAAATTAACTTTGGGAAGCAAATACTTTTATCCAAATGTTTTGGATTATAAGATATTTCTCCCGCCTTCCTAGCCTGCCTTCGTAGTATATTGGTCTGCACGCTGGGCGCGTATTCCAGAGGTCGGCGGTTCGATTTCTGGTTTAAGCTTAGCACTTGATTCTCCGGTCTATGTTTCTTACTCTACACTGAGAGAAATAGGTACAGACTTCCGACACTATAGTCGATATAATCCACTCTTACAACGGCTGTTCCGTCACAACAACAGGTATAAAATTACATTTCTGATAAAAGTACATTAAATCCTTTTTTCACTACCATTTGTTATGACTCATTTGTTATGACGCATGTATTCAAGAGTTATTAAAAGAAGCAGCGATTGCATTATTGCAAATGCTGTGCTATAGGTATTCTCATTGTTATTTTTGGTTTTAAGCTCATTGTTCTGTCCATTCATAGAAATGAGGAATCATTCAAGTTTCGCTTTTAACGCGAAATTTTCTTTCAGTAATTTTTTTACATACAAATATTACAAAACGTTAAAATGAATATATATTAATACCAATTGGAAAAGATTTTCGTAGGTCTTTTAAAGATACTGCCTAGTACAATTATTTAGAATTTAGACATTCAAAACTCCTATAAAAGGGATCAATTGTTCTTGTTTCTTTCCATACAAAGCTCAACCTATTATAAATTATATCTTTTTACTTTTTAGCTAATTTAAATAATAGAAAACACGATAAATTAAAAAAACATATTCACTTAATTTAGATGAAGGTGCACGTGTCATGCGAATATATAGATTATACCCGCAAGTGGAATGTTAATTATGCATTGTTATTTATTAAGTCCACCATTCTTTATTTATTCTTTATTTTTTCTTAAAAACAGACTAAATAAATATAGTTATCTACGAAAACGAATTTTTGCCTTACAAAGTGATTTTCAAGCTGTGGGTTGATATATGCTCTTTGGACCTTTGTTTTTAAATAAAACCATAAATATAGTTATATATAGAGAGAGTTATTGCCTAATTTATATGCTTTTTTATTAATTCACTCATGGCAAATAGACGTTATTTGATTATTATTATTTCATAATTGTCTTCGTTTTATTCATCTGTCACTCAAAAGGAGCTAATGATATGCATGTTGATTGCGATTATTTGCCCCTACGTGCATGTCAGATGCAGTGTTAAAGTTTTTATGAATCTCTGTCGTACAATACGCAGAATGTAACCGATAAATATTTTCTTCGCTTAATTTTAATAGATGAAAAATGAAATAAGATTATATATCAATTACAAGTGCTATATAACTAGATATAATTTTTGAGTGTTTAGGTAAATAAAAAATAGTATCGTAGTTTACTTTTGTGCGAGGAAGATTTGCTTTGCATTTTGCTTTAAGTAAATAAAATTATTTTTTAATTAGTTAAATTTCCTGCTATAAAATAATATTATAAAATTAAAAGTTTCTCATATGCATTACAATAAGCATGCACCTGGCTTTCAAAAATAAAGACAACGCAATTATGCGAAATATTTCGAATAGTTAAAGTAAAAAGAATTCTTTTGCATATATAAATACGATGAGTACTAATCTAAGGTGTCTGGGATAAAAGAAGCTACATTTTCATTTTCTTCAAAAAACTATATCTGCATCTGATTGAATAGCATCTCAAACTCCTGGCATTTGTTTAAAATCTTGCCTGTTTTAATCTTTTAAGTTTAACAAAATCTAATGTTATCAAAACTTATTTATATCTTTGATAAAAAAAAATATTGCAAATCTTTCTACCCTAACGCTGAAGTAGAGTGCATCCATGTGGAGGCAGAAATGAGCTTGCATACCAAAAATCTCATAAAAGCTCTGGAGTTTGTCATAAATAAAAAATAACACAAATGTACTACAGACAAAATCATGAACTAAAAATTTCATAAATGTCAGACTTCCTTGTATCATATGCCGATAAAACATTGAGGAAGTAAAAACAAAAAAAAAAAAGAAAGAGATTCAAAAAGGAAATACTTGAAATCCTCCGGCTTCGAAACGGGAAATAAAGCTCGTTTAACAAAACCACCAATTTTTTTTTTTTTTTTTTTTTTTTTTTTTTTAAGTTGGAAAGAGGCCAAACACTTTTTGAGTACTTTTTTTAGCTCCAGTCAACTGATATACTGTGGCTTCAGTTTCTCTTTGGGCATCTACTAAAGCAATATTAATCGAGATTCTTAAATTTCAAAGTCGTTCCCATTATATTAATATGGGAACAAACCTTAAATTTAAGAAACTCTCTCAAGCGAGTTACGAGTGAAAAATATCAAAGGAATGCAACAGCCGAAAATTCACTGTTAAACTATATAATTTGCATCAAAATACTATATGTTTATTTTGTCGATACATTCCTGAAAGCATGAAAATGAGTTCATATGATTCGTAATTTTAAATCTACTTTCTTTACATACATAAGCTAAAATTAAGAAGCAAACGCTTTTTCATCGCAGAAGGAATAAGGTACGTTAAAAAATTCTTACATTACTCTAATAAACTATTACTTTTTAAATTATTCTTACTTACATCTATAAAGAGGAAGCTAGTTTCACGTTCCCTTCTAGAAAGTCCTATGCAAAATTACAAAATACATGATGTCAGTATCTCTGGGCAGACAGAGATTCTTTGTCAAACAAGTTGAGGGCAGTGATGCGTTAATCATTATTCCTTCCTATAATTTCACGTTTGCACGGTGGAAAGATAAATTAAAAGCTTTTGTCTTGTACTTTAGCAACATTTGTCAGCTAGCAAAGTGATGAATGTTTTGGCAGCACATATAAAGTGGCATGAAGTAACGGTTAAGAAATTAGGCAAACTGCGAAAGACTGAAAAAAAATACATTTCTAATTTCAAAGTGAAAAAGTTAAATCGAATCCAGAACATTGAAATCGAAACTTTCTAATGTCGATTCGAAGTAAAATGGTACGCCTCTTTTCCCGAAAGAAAGGAGTTTCTCAGAAGTTACTACACTTTCAAACGGCTGGTTTCGTTGTCTCTTAGTTCTTATTTTGAAAAAATAAAACAAGATATTGTTTTTACTGTCTAAATTTAAAGTTATGGGTAATGTTCTACTTACGACTTACTGTAATTTATCGGGTCAAATAAAAGTATTTAATTTAACAGTTAAGTTTGAAATGAGGAAATGTATATCATACGAATTTGTTGAAAATTCCCTTATCCCTTTCTGGGGCGCAATGTTATGATTTTTTAAAAGTTTATGAAAAAGTAAGTATAATGACATGCAATGGTCCTATGGACTTTCGTCCCCCTTTATGGAAATGGGACCGGTTTCGCCTTGAAACCAGCGTCCGTCTAGAGCATTTAAGACTAAACATTTGCTTATTTATCTTTATTTTGCTGGAAAATATCTGAACGTAACCCAAATTGCAGATTATACTAGTAAATTACTGAACAACTAACGAAGTAAGTAATATTTGCATAAACACGCATTTTTAATTATAAATA